TATCCCAAAGGGCCAACACTGAAAATAAGACTGAGTACTGAAGTTCTGATTTCGAAAAAACTCAGACATTCAAAACAAAACATAATAACAGAGCTTCCTTTGAAGCAAACAGCCCGCTGCAGTGTTCCTGCCATAGCTTCACCAACACTGACTTAGTACCTTATCAAACATCCGTAGGGACAATGCCCTAACGCTCATTTCCCAAAGCATACAGTGATGGAACATATTACAAAACATTAGCAGTCTTTCAATTCATTGCACATAAACCAGACTTAATCAATGCTCTAAACAGAAGCGAAAGCTCTCACCGAGCGCAGTTATCCAAGCAAGGTTAGCAAAACTATTAGCAGTATCCTCTTTTTTAACCAAAAGCACTCTTACCCCACAAATTCAGAAGAGACAACTAAAAAATGTGAGAGCCTAGGAATAAGTGCTGTAAATACAAACGCTACAGCCTGGGACATCAGACTGAGTATAAACGACTGTACCTGAAGCACACAGTCTCACGTGCATCAGAATATCTCCAGGCCCATGGGTTGCTGCAGCCTCTCCTAAAGACAAGAAAATGAAGGTTTACAGCCTCAACCAGAGAGAGAGACAGAGGGAGAGAATATGAATGGATGTGGGGAGTCTAACCTTACCACTCAGGCAGTTAGGGATCCAAGTCAGCAGTAGAAAGGGCTCTGAGGAAGTCCAGGAATCCCTGCCCTTATACAGTGAGGAAACGGCCCCTTGAGTCCGTGGCCCTCTGTTCCTTGCTCCCTTGAAGAAAGGATGCGGGCAACAGGAGGATGTGCAAAAACCTGGTCGCGTTTATCTTGAAGTAGATAAAGGGGGAGTGATACCACCCAGGAAGAAGGTGGCCCGTGGTGCAAAGCCATCAGGGCCGAGTGCAAGTTGGGATACATTTTCTGTGCACAGAGGGAACTGGGATAATTATGGTGCTTATCCACATTTTTACCTAGAAGTTACTTTGGAATTGCAGAATGTCTTTCTGCCCCTTTTAGATGGCCAGTGCTTCCTTAGGCCCTTGAATCTTGTAAAGAATTTACAAAAGAGTGTGTAAAAAGATCAGGTTTTGGTTTAAACCAGGTCCGGCCCAAGGCAAGCAGGTCTTTAAAAAATATTTCTCTTCCTGATATCTTTGGGCCGTCGGCTCTGGGAGCCAGGAATGGAGCAGCCCTGGATCTGAAGTGAGGTGCCCAGGGATTAGCAGGAATGTGCACAGCGCGTAAACTTACGATGTCGCCATGTTCTGGGGGTCACTTTCAGTCTGAGACCTAATAAATGAGTATAAATGTGCTATACCTTGAAGTCTTCCTGCAGTTAGCTGGCAGTGCATGCGGTTTTGGAACCCCACCCGAGCCTTCTGGTCTGCTGAAGTCTAAGTAGTTGCCTAACAATTCCATGTAGTCAGCTCATTCACAGCTATGAGAGTTGATCAGGCACACGTCCTCTTTTAGACCCATCCTTCCCTATGATTCATCCCCCTGCATATCCACATCAACAACCCCAGGCCTTTATCTCCTTTATAATTTACTCAGAATACTGGCCCTTGGGCTGGGCAACCCTCACACGAAGGCTACAGGAGCCGTAATCCTAGCATGGCACCATGAGTCAATTCCAGCCTCATATCCTAATCCCAGCATCACACACTCTAGGTGCAGCTGTCTCCTAACACTCCCCCTATGCGGGACGACCACATGCGGCCCTGGGGAACATCTAGAGGGAAGCCATAAGGGTCACTTTCCAGTCATTGGGAAAGAATACTGGACATCACAGCTGAAAGGAGGAGAGGTACATTTTTCTCAGGTTCATTCCACAACTGGCTGTTTGCATGGCAAAAGATGATCTGGTGGAACAGAACGGCACAGGAAAGGTCCCAAGTTATGGGGTCCAGGAAGCAGAGAGAGAAGGGGGGTATAAGGACCAGAATACACTTTCCCAATCCTGGCCCCAGTCACCCAGGTCTAACGGGGCCCCACCCACTAAAGACACATGTGCTATTGAATTCACCAGCTGTTTAATTCACTGATGGGTACAGCACCACAAGATCCAATAATCTGCCGAACACTGGAGGCATAGCGGGGTCATTCAGACCTAAACCTTAGCAACTTACTACCTTTTCATCTGTCACTTTTTTTAAAAACCATGCTTTCAGCTAAGGCCACACAGATTATATACATGCTGTCTTCTATGAGATTTTTCACTTTTAGCTCTTGCATTTAGTAATGACCCATTTGAGTCAATTATGTAGATGGTATAAGAAAGACACTTTGCCTTGGATAGTGACTTTTCCAGGCAACTTCTCTTGAGAAACACATTTTTTTCAAATTGAGTTGTCTGGCAACTTTGCAAATTCAGGTGACTATAAACAGAGTGGTGATTTCTACAACTCTTGGACACTCTGTTCTAACAATCTATGTGTCTCTATGCCAATTCCACAGCACCTTGATTCCTGCATGTTTTAGGAAGTTTTAAATCACACAGTATGAGTTTACTATACTCCTGCTTACTTCTTCTCAACATTGTTTTGCCTCTTCTAGATCTTTTGTGTTTCTGCATGGATTTTTACATCAGCTTACCAATGCAGTATAGGCAAAGAAATAAAAAAAAGTCAGCAGAGCCTTTGATAGGGATTTTTCACTTTATAGATACTGCTGGGGATTACACCCATTCCTAATAACATTAATCTTTCTAATCAATGAACATGGATTTTTCTCCATTATTCAGCATTTAAATTTTTAAACACATTTTGTAAATTTCAGTGTACATATTATACACAAATTTTGATAACTTTTCTGAGTTTTATTTCATACTCAGGCTATTTTAAAATAATTATTTTCTGAATTTCATTTTTTGTTTGACATTTGCTGATGCATACAAATCTAATGCTTTTATATATTGACTTCATTACCAAAGCTAATTAAACTCATTTTTTGATTTCTAATCCTATTTTAGTAGAATATTAGGATTTTTGAAACACAAGCAATGGTCATTTGTAAAGATATGCTCTGTCCTTTGCAACTTCGAGGTTGCTTATTTATTGTTCTGTCCTACACGCCCTGACCACATCTTCCAAAACAAAGTTTAATGTAAGCAGCAAAAGTGGACATCTATGGCTTGTTATTCTTCCTAAGGGAAAATCCAGCACTTCTCTGTAAAATGGAAGACGTTATCTGAATTTGTCATAGTTCATCTTTGTATTGTTCCTATACAGTTCATTTCTAAACTGGGCATGATTATGCCTGGTTATAATTCCAGCCACTCAAGAGGCTAAAACAGGGAATCCTGAGTCAAAATGAACCAACTGGGAAAAACATTGACTCAAAATGCAACAAAAAATAAAAAACTAAGAACGTTTCTTCTTTTGCTAATTTGATAGGACTGCATTGGTGTTTTTGTCAAGTACGCACTTTGCATTTGTTAAATGCTTTATCTCTCTGATGCTCATGTGTTTTGTGCTTTTCATTACCAAAGGGCATTGCAAGGATTTCTTGCCTGGAGCTGCAGTGGCACAATCAGTTAAGGAGCGCCAGGGTATATGTGCAAGTATTGTTTTCCTACGCTATACAAAACTTGCACTAGTGTGATTAAAAACCCTTGTGTGTGGTGAACAATGCTTTCTTATGTCACCAATTTGTTTTGCTACTATTTCCCCTAAGGATTTCACCTTCCACATTCATAAGGCAACTTGCAGTGTAATGTGTTGTACTGGCTTCCTTTTGGCTGATTGCAGAGTCAGGGTAAACTGCCTACACATGATGCACTGGGAAGTGCTCTTTCCCTTATTTTTGTTAGAGAGTTTTTCTGGATGCTGTTTTTCCAGTGGGTTTTTTTAAAATATGGTCTTCTTTTTGTATGTGTGTGTTCTGAAAGCATTTGGAAGAGTAAATAGTGGTTCTTTAGTGACCGGGAATGATTCTCTCTTCGCTATCTACGAATATAAACACTCAGACCACATCTGCACAAAGTTCAGAGCCTCTCCTCCTTTAGTTCTTTTCATCGTCTTCTTACCATTACTCAGTAACTACTGGAGTCTCCACAATCTTTTCTTCAAATATAAGTAGCTGTGCTGCCTTACCCGGAAACCCCATGTGCAACCATTACCAGGTAATATATCTCCAGGATCCCACTAAAGATATTTTGGGATACAAGAGATATACTCATTGGAAGCCAAGATTTAGAACTGCCATGGACAAGAAACATAATTCCTATTTCTTTATTCAAGAGTTTATTCTTGTCCCACAAGTAAGGTCTTAAAACTCTTGTTATAGTTTGTGCCTAGCTGTTTCCCCAAGCCTCATGTGGCCACTGAGCTTTTTCAGAGGCAGCTGAATCTAGAGTTTTGCTGGACTCTTGGTGCAATGCTGGGATCAAGGTGCTGGGAGTAAGAGTGGGTGAGTGCTGGATCAGTCCACTGATTGGGCCGGCACGGACATAGTCCCAGCAGACTGGAGAAAATATAAGGGACGGAAGAGGCTTGTCTCCTCAGCCCCTTTATTGTCTTTGCTGTTTCTATTGCCAACAGCTGTTGCCCCCTGCCATGTGCCACTTTGGCATGGTGCCAGCAGAGTCAAATTGAAACCTCTATGCCCTGTGAGCTAAATACACCTTTCTTCCTTTAACACTCTGAGTGTCGGGTATTTTGTCCCAGCAATGCAAGAAACTAACACAGTTTTCACAACACTATTACCGTTCAATACTTTGAAAAAACTGATAATTAAGTTGTTTTTATTCTCTGGACCCACTTGAATTATTTAGGAGAATGGATTCTGTTGGTGCTATTACCAAGCCCAAAAATAACAGAATCGATATTCACATTGTCCCTGCAGGGCTGGGTGGAAAAAATATTAAATCATCATGGTTTAGGGAATTCATCTACTTCCAAAGACCTAAAGATGAAGATCTAGACAGCAAATGTTATCATTTGAACCCTAAAAATCCCCAAAGACACATCTGTTAAAGCTTTGGATCCTGACCTGTACTACAGCGGGGAGATGGTGAAAACTTTAAGAGATGGGAAACTCGCAGGGCTCAGTTATTTCTGTGGGATCGCACCCTTCAATGCGATGTGTCCCAAGACCGTGGGAAGTATGCAGGATCCAAAGAGAAGAAGGGCTCTTCTGCACAAGAAATTCCCAGAAAGAACCAACAGCTGCAGATACTCAGGCAACAGTGCTCCCAGCTGTTATGCTGAAATCTTGGGACCTTCAGGGATGGTGGGACCCTGACCACTTCACCTCTCCCTCTTTGCACGCTGACCACCGTGAGGCAAGTCTTCCTCCACCACACACTCGCTCCATGGTCCACAGCCTCACCCCATGCTCAAAAGCCACCTACTAACTGGCTGTGAATGTAAACCTCTGACATTGAGCCTAAATAATCTGCTTCTTTTTAAAAGATTGTTCATGTTAGGTACCTTTTATGTATCTATATGTTTTTGGTACCAGGAATCAAACTCACGACCTTGTGCTTGCAGGCAGGTGCTGTGCTGCTGAGCTATATCCCCAGCCCTTAGGTGCATTTTAGAGTAAAGGAATCTGACTAACATAGAAAACTGGTAGTGAGAAAGGTGGTCATTGCTGCAATGATACATGAGATAAAGTAGAGAATCCTTTGTACAGTAATACGTTTGAGGGAGTTTAGAAAAGCATGCAGAAGTGCTCTGTAAAAGCTCTAGAATGCCGGGCACCTCAGTGAATGTCCATCATCCCACCTATCGGGAGGCTGAGGCAGGAGGCTGGCAGTGAGTTCTGAGCCAGCCTGGACCACATAATGAGTTTAACACCAGCCTGGAGTAACTGTCTCAGTAATCTAAAAAAAATCTTTAGAATGCCATAAGTGGAGCTTGATAGGAATTTTTTGTGAAGACTCAGAAGACCAGAATGCTCACAGAAATGCTGACAGTAAAGGTTGTGTTTTCAAGGATTCAGGTGCAAGTGAGTACTGCAAACAGAGCTACAGGCCATTCATGTTACGTGCTGGCAAAGCATTTCAATGCAATGCTCCCATGACCTGAGAGTTTGTGGGACGTCAAGATTAAAGGGAATGGACTATTTTCCCTGGTGGACGAAATTTCGAGGCAACACAGCACTCAAGAACTGGAATGAGTATGACCGGCTGCTTTCAAGCAGATTGACAGTGACAGTCAGGAACAGAGAAGGTCAGAGTGGAGAAAGTTGAAAAACCCGGTTTGGCTACAACATGAAGCCGAGAATTGTGCAACATGAAAAAAACAGGCAAGCTGACCTGAGAGGATCTGTTATCAGCAAGATGCCACCCAAAAGCAGACTCAAAGCCTGAAAGAACAAACTTATTCCAAACTTCATTTGAGAAGAAAGCCCAAGGAAGCCATCTTGTGCCACTGTGCCTCTCACGTTTGCTACCTTGTGTTCAGCCATCAAAGCACTCAGAGGCTGTGGCAGCCTCATTAAAAACAAGCTCAGTTAGAGCTCATACCACGAGCAGATCTTGGTGTCGTGCACCTCACGCTGGTGTTTCAGCCACGGAAAATGCACGAGCTACGGTGTCACAGAGAAGAGACCCGGGGAGGCCAAGCGGGCTGTGGCCAGGTCAGGGCTCCTGCAAGCAGGCACGGACAGGGCAGCCTGGGAAGCTGTGAGACTGCAGCTAAAGGTGTGGTGGAGACCCCAGGAATTTACAGCTGAGAGGAACACAGGGTGGATAACAAAGGAAGCTGCAGACAAAGAGCGGAGGCAGCCCAGGACAACGGCTGCACGGCACAGGCTGCGGTCACCACGGCTGTGGTTGAAAGGCTGCCCAGGTCCTTGAGCTGACTCATTCCAGCACGGTGTGCCAAGGATGTGAGATTCGGAGCCCTGGGGTTTCACACTGGCCCTGATGGGTTTGGGTCTCACTTTGGTCTGATCCTTCTTTCTTATACCCTTCTCGCACCCTTTCAGGAAGGTCCAGTTGTGTTTTGAATTATATTACTTTCTTTTTTTGTAGCAGTTCATAGATAAGAGTTTGTGTTCAATTTGAAAGGACAATTTGGGGATGAACTTTTGAGCATAGCTGTAACTTTGAAGACTTGGGGGATTCTTGAGACAAACTTGATTCATTTTGCTTCTGAGGTGTACCTAAGCCCCTGAGATTTAGAGAATGAAATCAGATTGAATTCTGAATGTCCACTAAAAGCCCCTGTGCTGAGGAAGTGTTATGCCCCAGAGGGTGTCATATTTTGTGGAAGTCAGGTTAGGGGCGTGCCGTTGAGGAGGCCATCAAGATCGTGGTAGTGAGGCTGGAGATCTAACTCTGGAGCAACGCCTGTCTGGCAAATGTGAGGTCCTGAGTTTTTCTGCAAGTATCAAAACTGAGAGAGTGAGAGAGAAAGAGAGAGGGGTGGAGAGATACTCTGGTCACGTTCGCTTTTTAGTTCCTGGTTCCCACTGAGTGAGTGCTTCATCTGCCACAGGCTCAAAAGTGAGGTGCTGCCTTTCCTCAGGCCCGAGAGTGACGTGGTCACTAAGTACTGAGCTCTCAGAAATCATGAGCTAAAATAAACATTTCCCCTTACAAATGTACCACTGTAGGTTTTGTGTTTCAGTGAAAGAAAGGCGACTCCCACTCCAGTGATTTATGTAAGTGATTCAAGATATATTTTGCACTATGTCGTTAAAGTGATAGGTAAAATAGAAGGGAAAGCAGGATACGCAGTAATACCCAGCCTCTTTGTAGTGATCTAAGAGGTGGACACAGGCTCGTGGAGCTCTGCAGATGTGCTGGCTGAACACAGTCCCGCCGCGGGACGGACAGCGTGCTCACCCGCACACAGCCTTGTTCCCACCCACAGCCCCGTGCCAGCTGGCACCGCGATGCTGTAAAGGGATCATTTTCCCAAAGCCTGAAAATCCATGGGCTTGGTCACTGCTCTCCAAGGGCATCCACAAAGCCAGTGTTATACATTTTGGGTCAGTAATCCTGGATTATGTTCTCCACACCACACTCAGAGCTTAAGTGAGAAAACTTCTTCCTTGGGTCTGAAGAAGTGCAGAGAGAGAAATGCGGCCGGCCTCACTGCACTTCTCTCACTTCTGAGATCAAAGCAGCAGCGTTTAGATGCCGTGAAGCTCCGCGTTCATGCTCACTCCTTAGACAGAGGCATCTGAAACTCAACATAATACAGACAGTGTTATTTCCACCCATATCCTTTTATTGGAAATTCCTGTTGTAGCTAAGTGACTTGCTAGATATCTTTCCTTTTTCATTTCAGTGTGTACTTTATAACATGTCATGATTTATATCCTGAATGTCACACTGCAAGATTTGGCAACCAAAATTGCTTAATTAATTCTTAATTAATCAGAAATAAATGATATCAAGTGTGAGGCCAGCTTGGGTGACAAACCAACACTCTAATTTTTAGAAATGGATATGATAAAAAAAGAAGCAAGAATGTGCTCCAGAGACACACCTACACAGAAACGCTCAGGGTCTCTTATCTCCAGATGGCATGTGTCAGTCAGTGGCATGAATAAAGTGTTATAAAAACCCACCACTGTATGTCATTGTGCTAGGTTTTTCTTTTCCTTTCTCCTTTAAAAAAATACGTCATTTCCATTTCCCTGTAAATAACCTGTACATAATAAAGAAGCATTGTTAAAAAACAAAAAGAGTCAATTGTTGTATCTAGATGTCCCCTATAGAGTGACTACTCCCCAAGTTAGTTATCTGAGTCTGTCAGACAGGCATTTTTAGGAGGAGGGTAGAGGTCCCATGACAGTGAAATCCCAGTGCTGATGTGTGCATGGTAAGCACGACTCCAAGTGGATGCTGAAGAAATGTGAAATTAGATTTCACAGCAAATAAAACAGGAACTTTAGTAGTTTACAAATAATCTAATACACATAAACATGTATGTTAACAACAAGATTGTGGAGAAATTAATGTATATAAAATTATATTTTAGCAAATTGTCTCAAAACTCTACCAAAATACAGCAGAGGCACCACCAAGCTACCTCACTGAGACATGGGCAGTCAAGGATAAAAATATACCTTCTACTAAAGCTTCGGTGTGTATTTTCACATCTTTCAAATAGGAATTTATGTAAAATTTATACTGTAAGAATACTGTCAGCCAACAGGCAATTATTGTAATGGAGCTCCAGGCACGCACGTTCTCTGAGTCAAATAGCAATGCTTTGACACTGGCTGCTGATAACATCAACAAGATAACTGAGGAAAGGACTGCAAGGGCTCCACAGCTGGAATGAGCATCTCACAGAGACTAGCACAGAACTCTAGCAATGCAGTCTCCAAAGCATTTGAATAGCATAGTTCACGATCATGTTGAGAAACCAAAAACAAGATGATTGGAAAGGCGATTCAGGTCCTTTAGCCCGCCCCCACCTCCCTGTGTCCTTCCCCCAACCCCCTCAGGCAGGGCGGCCCAGGGGCCTTGGGCCGGTACCTGAGGTGGCCGGGGCGCCCTCCAGGCCGCCCCTCCCTCGCCTCCGCCCCTCCTCCCCCAGCCCCCGCCTCCCTTCCTCCTCTCCGCCCAGCGGCTGCCGCTCAGCCCGGCTCTGGGTTCTAAGACGCAGGCACTGAGCTGCGGCGGCGGCAGGGAGCAGAGCCAGGCGCTGTTCAACGCGGATATGGAGCTCGAGGCCGGGACTGGCGCCGCGGCCTCTTCGGCTGCAGACCCTGCCATTGCTGTGGAGGTATGCAATATCAAACAAATGATTAGGTTGACGCAGGAACACGTAGAGGCCCTGTTGGAGCATAGGGCTCCAGTTTGGTGGGGAGCAATTTGGTGGGGATTTGGTGGGGAGCATAATTTGGTGAGGCGCATAATCCACCACCAATATACCTGCAGGCCTATGAAGAAAACACCAGCAAGTTAGATGCCCTCCAACGAAGAGAACAGCAGTTGCTGGAATCCCACCGGAGCGGAACTGATTTTTCTGTTTCTACCTCTGCACCGTTGGGCACCGTGACATCGTCTTCTTCTTCTTCTTCCCGCCTTTCAGTGCTGCCTTCATCTCTTTCTGTTTCTCAGAATCCTCCAGATGTGTCACCCAGCAACCCCAAGTCACCACAAAGACCTGTTGTTAGAGTCTTCTTGCCCAACAAGCAGAGGACAGTGGTACCTGCAAGGGGTGGAGTGACAGTCCGAGACAGTCTAAAGAAAGCTCTGATGATGAGAGGTCTCATCCCAGAGTGCTGTGCTGGGTACAGAATTCAGCATGGAGAGAAGAAACCGATCAGCTGGGACACTGATATTTCCTGGCTTATCGGGGAGGAATTGCATGTAGAAGTGTTGCAAAATGTTCCACTTACAACTCACAATTTTATACGGAAAACTTTTTTCACCCTAGCATTTTGTGACTTTTGTCGAAAGCTCCTGTTCCAGGGTTTCCGCTGTCAGACGTGTGGTTATAAATTTCACCAGCGCTGTAGTACAGAGGTTCCTGTGATGTGTGTTAATTATGATCAACTTGATTTGCTGTTTGTCTCCAAGTTCTTTGAACACCACCCATTGCCACAGGTGGAGACCTCCTTGGCAGAGACCACCCTTCCATCTGGATCATCCCCTTCTGTGCCCCCCTCAGAGTCCACTGGGCCCCCAGTTCTCACCAGCCCACCTCCTTCCAAATCTATTCCAGTTCCACAGCCTTCCCAGCCAGCAGATACAGATCATCAAAATCAGTGTGGACAGCGAGACCGGTCCTCATCTGCTCCCAATGTGCCTGTCAACAAGATACAACCTGTCAATATTGATGATCTGATTAGAGACCAAGGATTTTGTCGTGAGGGAGGATCAACCACAGGTTTGTCTGCCACCCCACCTGCCTCATTACCTGGCTCACTCACTAATGTGCAAGTCTTACAGAAATCTCCAGGACCTCGGCGAGAAAGGAAGTCATTTTCATTCTCAGAAGACAAGAATCGAATGAAGACACTTGGTAGATGGGATTCAAGTGACGACTGGGAGATTCCTGATGGACAGATTACGGTAGGACAAAGAATTGGAGCTGGGTCATTCGGAACAGTCTATAAGGGAAAGTGGCATGGTGATGTGGCAGTGAAAATGTTGAATGTGACAGCACCCACACCTCAACAGTTACAGGCCTTCAAAAATGAAGTAGGAGTGCTCAGGAAAACACGACATGTGAATATCCTACTCTTCATGGGCTATTCCACAAAGCCACAGCTAGCTATTGTTACCCAGTGGTGTGAGGGCTCCAGCTTATACCACCATCTCCACATCATCGAGACCAAATTTGAGATGATCAAACTTATAGATATTGCACGGCAGACTGCACAGGGCATGGATTACTTACACGCCAAGTCAATCATCCACAGAGACCTCAAGAGTAATAACATATTTCTTCACGAAGACCTCTCGGTAAAAATAGGTGATTTTGGTCTAGCCACCGTGAAATCTCGATGGAGTGGGTGCCATCAGTTTGAACAGCTGTCTGGATCCGTTTTGTGGATGGCACCAGAAGCAATCAGAATGCAAGATAAAAACCCGTACAGCTTTCAGTCCGATGTGTATGCATTTGGGATTGTTCTGTACGAACTGATGACTGGACAGTTACCTTATTCACACATCAACAACAGGGACCAGATAATTTTTATGGTGGGACGAGGATACCTATCTCCAGATCTCAGCAAGGTAAGGAGTAACTGTCCAAAAGCCATGAAGAGATTAATGGCAGAGTGCCTTAAAAAGAAAAGAGATGAGAGACCCCTCTTTCCCCAGATTCTCTCCTCTATTGAGTTGCTGGCCCACTCACTGCCCAAAATTCACCGCAGTGCATCAGAGCCCTCCTTGAACAGGGCCGGTTTCCAGTCACAGGCTTTTAGTGTCTATGCTTGTGCTTCTCCAAAAACACCCATCCAGGCAAGGGGGTATGGAGAATTTGCAGTCTTCAAGTAGCCACACCGTCGCAGCAGCGTCTACTCTTTATTTCTTAACTCTTGTGTTCCTACAGTTCGTTAACATCCAAACAGTTCTGTTCCTCAAATCTTTTTTTTAAAGACACAGAATTCTCAGTGCGCAAGCTGGTGTGGTACGGAACGGAATTTCCTATCCATCAAAAGAGGGAAGAATGTTGTAGGAACCAGATTTCTTTACTGCCAGTGTTTCTTCTTCAGCACAAATACCAGGCGCACACAAGTCTGCCCTCTCCCGGGAAGAAAGAGGAGAGACCCTGAACTCTGACCTTTTGATGGTGGGGCATGGTGGAGGGAAACTGCTGCTAGGGCTTGGGAGCTTTGCTGCGGGACGTCTGCCTGGCGGCGGCGCGGCGCGGCCGGGCT